CGTTGAAACCAACACAGAGCCCTCCCTTACGTCTGCTTTCCCACAGGCACTAGAACTACTGTCTACAACAGGAAAAATAAGAAAGACTTTTGGGAATCACAGAAAAGATCTCAGACTTGATTTCAGCTTCTCCTTCTCTTGTTCYGGACTGTCCACATTCCCTCTGTCTTTCCATGAGCAACATGTACCRTTCCTGCAGGTAAAAGAAGCATTGATTTCAATCTGTAGGCTCTTCTGTGATGGAGTTTTCACAAGTTGTTCAAACCTTTAACAGCTTTCTTTCCATTTAGAGAGCCTCTTTCACAAGTTTACAGAGGATTTGGGTTCCTTCTCCTATTCCTACCAAACCAGGAYTGCTTTTCATGGCACAGCAGGGACAACGTCACAGGCATAACATGATTCTGAAATGTCCAAATCTGGATCTGAACAGAGAACTGTTTGGTAATACTGTCTGTTGACCAAGTCCTACACGGGCAAGAGCTACCTTACTCCAAGCGGATTTTATTAAACAGAACAAGTGATTTTTGATACATGGAACTCCAAATTTTGTTTAGGAGATTAACATCAGTCACAGTGGATAAAATTGATCAAATAGTTCTGTATGATCTATCTATCTATAGAGATTTATGATCTATATATGAGCTATATGATCTATTATTAATACGATTGCAAAGCTATTTCTTAGGAGATCTCTTAGCCAGATGGCGAGTGCTGATGTGTCACTTGGCCTTCTCAGGGTATTTAAAGACTATAAAGGAGGCTAGTGAGCACTACACGCTGACAGTACTTGCTGTTTACTCAAGATTTCTATTATGTCTGATCTGACTAAGAAAAAGCACATATATTGTTTCTGAAAGCAACAGGACTTGGCTGATTTAGCTTAATTTGAATAAGGCCATAATGTGGAGTGGTCACTTACTGCAGCTGCCAAACCTTGGCAAGGCCGACAGTTGTGTTGGCAATGAACACAATGAAGGCAATGCAGCTACCATCCACTTTTGGATGTCCAAGAAATGTTGAGAAGTCCACAAAGATAAAGTTCCAAGAAAGTCAAATAAATACATGACATGAATAAGGATATAGCTATTTCTTTTGGTGCATGTTCAGGATAGCCAACATCATTACTGAGAATTCCTTACAGGAAGCAATAAAGGCAACAGTGGGTGATTTATTAAGACTTGGCAATGGTTTTCCTGGCCCTAAAAATTGGAAACTGACACAATAATAATATTTCTTTTTTAAAAGGAAGTCATTCTCTTAGGCTTCCCAGTTCAACCCATCCACACTGAACCCTTCTCATACAGACTTGTGTATGACTAAAGACATGACTGTAGTGTATTAAATACTGAATAGCTTCTCTTCTGTGGAAACAGAGTAAGTCACAGACATACTTCACTCAGCCTCTTTCTGAACTCCTCTCACCATGCTTGTGGACAGAATGATGTTTTTGCATAAAATACAAGAAAATTTATTGAAAACCTAGAGCAGGTCCAGTCCTTCAAATACATTCGGCCCTTAGAAAACAGTAGTGTAGCTGTCTCTCTCTGCAAGCTGACATAATGACACAGGACCTTGCCCTGCAGGCTGTCCAACCATGATAAACATGGCACACAGAAAATTAACACAATCAGGTATAGTTCATGAGCACTAAATATTTTTTCTTTGGTGGGTTAGCTTCCTGTCAGAACAATTTGCTGCATCAATACACACTGCAGCAACACTATGGCTAGGTCCAACGAAGGGGAAACCATGAAAAAAATGCCTAGAGAATGGTGGGGGGAGCAGGGTTGCTCCCTTTAGCACAAGCCTGCAATTAGATTGGGGTAAGTGTAACACAAAACCACACCAGGGCTGTTTTGCAGGAAAGGAGGTTCTTGAGATTAGTTTATTGTCTCTCTCATTTATTGCTTTCTTTAGGCAGCTGCACTGGGATGTGGGAGACTGTCTGGTGTGAAAGTTCAGAGATAGAATAATTAGATTCAATGGCATGATTATGGATTTTATGTTTGAGCCACCTTTGATTGTGGAAAAAGTTAAAGCATGTTCTCCATAAAGCTTGGGTGGTTTCTCATAACACTCGTACAAGTAGGTAGATGAAGAGATGTTAAATTCCTAATTGTTTCTTTTATCTTTCCTGTGATAGAGACAGAGTTCTGTTTTTAAGACATACCAAAAACCAGGTCTTTCATCTGGAGTGTAAAATTCATGTGTTCCCTGACCTTGTATGTCACATGGTAATGAAACAACGTAAATCAGAAATGTTAAAAGTTGAAGTTTGTTAATATTACTGCTGAAGCTCCAGTCTCTTTCCTGGTTAAACTGACAGGTCCATAGTCCAAATATATATATTTACAGATTACAACGACACAAAGTAAAAAATTAATGGACACCCAATGAGAACCAAATGGAAATGCAAGTTTCAGATGGTTATCTGGATATTTTCTTTTTAAAAAAAGAACTACTTGTATGTATTTGAACTGGGTTGTGGACTTTCTTTTTATTGTACTACCATCTTACTCCTAAGATTTAGTACAATAACATACATTTWAAAATTTCTTACCACATATTCTCTGCAGGACTTCAGCCTTCTAGGCTGAAGCAGTCACCAAGATAGAGGAATTAATCTTTCCTAAAGATGTAGGAATTAAACTTTCCCAGTTGAAGAATTTGTTATATATTGTTATTTTGAGTCTGAGATCTAGGATTCTGGTCTGCCAGTATCTGAAAATGCTGCAAAACATTTGTATACTGATGTATGCCTGATGACATGGAGGCTACTGCTTTTACGTACTAATTAGCACTAGTCACTAAGACTAGTGCTAGGACATTTTAGAAGTGTGCRATCATTGCACTGTGCATCTTGGGTTCAGACTGCATAGATCAACACTGATGACTTATATCATTGAGGATCTGGATGGAGAAGACAGAACTGTCTTCAAAGCAAGGGCTGCCCACCATGGACCTTGCAGGTGAGAGCTGWTTTACCAGGGTTCCTGCTTACACTGCAATAACTTCAAATACACTGCAGTGTGCATTCCACTTTATGCAATGGAAGAGACCTCACTTTGCCTCACATACCTGTCTGTGTCCCTCCAGACAAAATGCATGGGCCTCCCATACCCCTTCCCATTTGTTGCCAGGCTTGTCATCCTCTTCAGAACAACTGGCTGAATTTGATGGAGATCTGGGGTGGTGAGAGCTCAAGCAACACAGATTGCTGGGAGATTGGAGCAGGGCCAGTCCTGGCCTTGGAACACAATTAGCAAGGCTTGTTCAGGTGCCCACTAGCTTGGGATTTATTAAAAAAAAATAAAAAAACCACTCTTTCCTCCTCTATCCTCCCATAAAATCAATGGGGAGTCTCCAAGAGAATCTGAAAACAGAGACATTTCCATATAGCTCATTTCACACAGAGAAATTCAACTCATTACTTTTTAATTCAAAGAAGTCTTGACTATGCCAAAGCACGCTGCACATTTAAGATAATCACAGGTAAATCTCATATTGCAGTTTTTTTCCCATATAAAATGGATTGTGAAAGCAACTCGAAAGCATTTATATGAACTGCTGCTGTCCAAATCTCACCTTGCAAAAAATCTACYTTTTTTTCAGCAAATGATAGAAAGGAACTCAGTCCTGAAGGTTCAAGGTGAAATCTTGGCTCTGTTGTATTCATTTGCCAAATGTGAATTGACTTCAACAGAGCCAGGTTTTTCCCCATAAAGCCATAGTAAGCAAGGGAACATCTACATAGCAGAGTAAAATCACAGGCTATAGATCCCTACTTTGTAACCCCAAGGCAAGTACCATGCTAATACGTAACATAAGAATATGTCCTTGGCAGATTTTATAATAATCAGCTTTCCAACTCAAAAAATCACATTATGACTTTAGTTTGTGTTGGTGATCCTAACAGAGAAATCAAACGTAGCAAAGATGAAGTATTTCTTTCATCTTTCCAGACAATCTCTTCAGAACAACTATCATGCACTACATGTCTGCAGATTACTGAGCTACCTCAATTTTATTTTTCTTTGTAACATACAACTGATCCCATTTAGTCTACTCTTAGTACTACCCTGACCATCCTTCAGCTGAAAAGGGCTGCACCAATGTGAATTCAATGGAAAAAAAAGAAGCAAGAAAAGAACTTCTCCATCAGAATGAAGAAAAATGACCAGAAATACAAAAATATACATAAACAAAAATATACATAAACAAAAATATACATAAACAAAAATATACATAAACAAAAAAAACCTGAAACCAAGTAGAATGATGCAGAGACTGAAAGAGTTCATTGCATCTAGCATGCAAGGCCATTATTCTCACATTTTTAACTTCTAACATATTTTTCATGCAAGACACCAAAATTATTATTTCTTTCTTAATCATGGGCTCAGGTTCTAATTCAGCAACGTATGTGTGTTAATCGAGAAGGATGAAAACCCAGTAAGCAATGCAATTTTCCTGTTTTTTGCTTGTTTATTTTCTTAACCATTTGAATCCTAAAAAAGCCTTTCTTTCTTTCTCCATTTCAGAGATGAAATGCTCTAGCATGGAAGAGTATTGCTATTCCAAATCCATAAATTTAAGCAATCTATGAGTAAAGCTAACTAGTTTATATCCAGACCTAGATATCTACTAGTGCATTCAAAGACTGAAGGGTTACAATTGCACATTGTACAGCCTTGGCATGGTTGTATACAGGGGAAAAAAGAAAAATAATACTTATGAATTACATATTCTACCACAGTAAGCTATTTTACTATGAAATTTACTTACTGTCTATATACTTATTAATATTTTATATCTTTACTATAAGAAGAATTTCACTATTGTGCTATTATTTGCACAGCTTCTCATGTATTCCTTATCAGCTTGAATGATTTAAATTATCTTACACAACTACAGTAAGTCCTGGAATAGATGCAAGAATACATTGGAACACAGCACGTAAATTAAGACAGTAATCCCAAAACTCTATTTTGCATACTCACTTGAATAAAGGAGTTCCACAAACAACACATTTGTATATTCCTTGAGCTTTATGATGTATGTACTCCCCCTCAAAGGCACTGGGAAAACAACAACACTACATTTAAAAAATAAGCAAAGGCTTTTTAAAAAAAAAAATTAAATTAGCTAGGATTTTATAAAATTATTACAGGAAAAAAGCACTTAATTTACAAGTTCACAGTTGTTTTTTATTAAATGAAGCAAATAAAGCAAACACAGAAAAAAAGGGAATGTCCTCACTAGTTTGCCTTAGGAGTTATGTATCATGCAGAAGGAAGCAAATTGTCACACAGTTCAAAGGACATAACAACAAYAAAAAGATAAAAACTGGAATCTTCCTCTATTTGTATGGAGAAGTACAACTTTTTGTAAATACGGATTGTTTGAAATTTAGATTATCGTGGGCACTTCTCCAGTTTTGTGTTTACACAATCTTTAGCGGTAAGTTGAGGTGCTAAAGTGCAGGCATGGAAAGCACCGGGGTATCTGCCATGGAGTGGACACCAAGAATTGCCACCTGGTTAGCAGGGGATGGGCTGCCGGGTGACAGAAGTATTGCAGCTGAAAATGAAATAATTGCTCCACAACTTCAAGCTGTGTGCGCCTTATATTTTTAGTCGAAAAGCAATATTACAGCTTTAAGGGAATATTTTTMTAAGTTAACAATCTAAAAGGCTAGGAGGTCATTCATCTAATACGAATCAGCTGTGCTAGTCCAACAAAAAGCCTATGTGTTCGGCAGCTTGTTTTTATTATCCTTTCACCCTTTTTATGAGGTCCAATTTTTTTTATAAACAGGATTTTTAAGAATGACCTAATCTCCGATTGTTTGTGTGCATTAAATCATGTTGTTGGTCCCGTACACAACCGTGGGCCGTGCTGGAGGAGGCCGCGCCTCCATGTCGGGCCCGCGGCGCGAAGCGGAGCCGGCGGCCGCGCGGGACAACGGGACAGTCCCCGCAAAACCAGGGCCCCACCACGCACGGCAAAGAGCCCTTCCAGGCCATGAGTGAAAACAAGCAGTTACATCATTAGTACATTTGGATGAGAGGTAAAGAGAGGGCCCGATGCCAAGCTCAGTGGTATAAATTAGACAACAAAAATGGTTAGGCCTTGGCAAGTTACCTTCATGTTGGAATCAGCTGAGAGAGACTTTATTCAATAAAAACAGTCTTGGAAGCAAGTCCTTTTTTTTTTTTTTTTTTTTTCCCTCCAGGATTCAGGGCTGCCTTCCAATGACTAAAGCCATGTGAGGGCAGTTATTGAAAATTTTTGACATTCCAACCACAAATGAGCCAATAAATACCTTCTCCACATGTGCTTCAAAAAGAAATTGGAGTGGGGTGGAAAAGAACTAAATTATGCTATCTTCTTTCTGCAGCCAAAATGTCTATGCTTACAATGACCACCTTCAAACCTTCAGGTTGCTGGCACGAAGCCATTTCCCTCGTGGTTCTGCTTACTGTGATGTCTTCCAAAAAGTGTACCTAAACCGCTATTACTTCCACACATTTTGTAGTAAACTAAAAACAGACCCTAAACATAAGCCCTGTGACTTTATAAGACATACAGTGTTCATTAAAAGAAAAAGTCACACAAGACCCCTGGCCTTGGCCTCCATGCTGCAGATGCTTGTCTGTTCAGTGGTGTTAATTTGCAGGGGTTAGTAAACAAGTGCAGAATTCCCGGAAAAAAACGTTGGCGGGGAAGATGAGGAAGCAACAGGAAAAGGAAGGGGAGAAAAAGAAAGATGCCTCTGTCTCGAGGGCTGGATTTCCTTCATCCCGCCTTACCTTTCCGTCCCTTTCTCCTGAGTGACATGGTACTGCAAAGGTGTCAGCCGCTTCCTCAGCTCCTCCTGGGAAAAGACCACCTTACAGTCCTTTTTATCCCTACATGACCCTGCAAAGGGAGAGGATATGGGAGAAGGAGCCTTTTTAGCTTAAATCCTGAATAATTGCTTTGGCAGACGGCCACAGCATAGCTTCTGCATTCACTTGTCAATGACCAGACCAGTCCCTAATGCACCAAGAATGGCTCAGCTGAACTGCAGCTGATTATTTCTTCAAATCCAAGTTTAAAAAGAATTTGGCTTGAGCGCCAGGTGATTCCACTGGAGCAGTGACAGTGTGCTACAGCCAAAGCCCGCGTGTGGGTTATATACCAAACCTTTGAGCACACAATCATTCACAAGAAAGGAGCATTTTTCAACCATTAGAAGAAAAACAACCCTGCAAGAATAACTGCAACTGAAATGTTCTTTACAAGACATCTATATTGGAGACTTATGGTAATGGGCATATGATGTTTAGCCACAACATGTAACAATTTCATAACCCTTTCAAGCAGCTTAAAGTAAGCATAAATCATTAGAATTACAATACATTTAACTGCTAGAATCCTGGCCCTTTCACTTTGCAACAATAACAATTGTATTTTTGCCCTGTTCAAGCACCAGAATATGACCCCTCAGCAGCAAGTCATTTCTTTATACAAAAAGTTGGAGCTTCAGCAATCAAACCACCTTAAAAATTAGGGCTGGCTTTAAAATTACTCTCCTTGGAAAATCTCATCTTATATTTTGCTTAACTCACACAGAAAATCCAAGCAGCACATAGAGATTACAGTGAAAAGCATTTGTATAAGGCAAAAATTCTCATCACACCAGAACAGAAATATAATAAGGTTGCTTTTGAGAAGGAAAACTCCCTTAGTAATAACAGAAATTACCAAATTTTGAGTTAACTTTGATAATGACTTGCAAAAATGAGTTGACAAAATATAGCAGGTAAAAAGCACTCTAATTATGACAATAATTAAAATATGGTACATTTAGAAATAAACAGTTCTGACAAAAATATTTTTTGCAAGTAATGTATATGCACTCATAAAAAGACCAATTGTGTTTCCAAAGTAGAGGGAACAGAGCTACCCATCTGTATGTCATTTAGTACAGGAGAGGCAATGGCAGGTTTAAATTACATGGTATTGGATTGCAATTTCCTAACATTGGATGCTTTTCTGCTTTTTTACCTTGAGTCATTACTAAGGAGTGTTCATAAAAAGTAGCTTAAAGCACAGATGCTTGCAAATCATTTAAGAAAAGATGTTTCTTTCTTCCCCCCCTTTTCTCTCTCTTTTTTTTTTTTTTTTAATGTGTGGGGGTGGGTGAATAGGGGAGAGGGAAGAAGAATAATGCTGTTGGTCACTACTGACTAACCCTAGGAAGTATTTTCAGGAAGAAAAAAAAAAGTAAAATTGAAAACATCTGATTGAAGTAAATAGTGCCAACATAAAAAGCTTTACTAGTGAAAGAAAGGTATTGAAAAGAGACTTTATTTCATAGATTAGAAATTACTTTTGATCTAAACATTCTTAAAAACAGATTGTTTTCCACTCTGAGCCATCTCATTAGCTGGGCTGCAGAGCCTTCATTTTAATGGCAGGCTTTGAAAGAGCGCTGCTGTATGCCTTTGTTAGCCTCAATCTTATTTGGGAGAGGGATAAAGATTTCATTCCAGGTCTCTTTGTTTGTCTTTCAAGAACCACTAAAGCAGTATTCACACAAATTTTGCAGGAATGTGCCCTGTGCCATAGCTTACAAATTATTTGGTTTTGGTGCACTTACAGGTCACCTTTCAAATTAGCAAAATTTTCCTACATCCTGGCTTTTCAACCTTAAATGTAAATATTGTTTCCTAACTGTAAGTGAGGTTTGTTCTTTATAACATTTGGTTGCTTATTTAAAGATGTCAAACTTTGGAGGTTTTTATTCTCAGAACGTGCTGGGCTTTCGGCTAATAAGTCTTTCAAACTACAGCTAACGGCGAAAGAAAGCATATGCATTATATAAATAACTATTGTTATGTTGCATCCTGCCGCTCAGAAAGAAACTGTTTGAGTTGGTTCTTCATCTAAAATTTCAATATTAAAAATCAGTCTAGGCAGCAGCAGTGGATCTCACAAACCAACATCTCCTCACTTCTAAGACCTCCAATTATTTTTTCAAAAGTTCAATTTATTTAAAGTTCTATCTTTAAATGTTCAAAAAAGCAAACTAGGCATGACCTGGCCTTCAAAAAAAAAAGGGGAAAAAATATTTTAAAGAAGAGCCAGTACTCCCCGTTTACTCTCCTGGAATATGTTTTTACCTATTATAGAAATGTAGCATTCGTCACTCAATATCCTAACTATTACACACAAAAAAAAGTCTATATGCTGCTTGGGCCATGACACAGATGAGAAGTAGAAAGCAAGTTATAAAAGATTTGGGCCATGACACAGATGAGAAGTAGGAAGCAAGTTATAAAAGATTTGTCCCTGTTGTTTTTAATAGTTAATTGCATGTTTCTTGAGACAGACAAGCATTCCATGCACATCTTGCTGATCTGAAGGGGGGTAAAACTGCAACCTACCCTGCCAGGGGACTTCTTAGGTTTGCAATTGCCACAAAATTTCTTATTAGGTTTGCAATTGTCAGCAAAAAGCCACATTTGCAGTACAAATCATGTAGAAAATCTCTCTGTGCACCATTCAAGAGCAGCACTATTCAGTGATTTGCATCTTGCAAAGGGACAATATAAAGCTACACGGATACAGGTACAACCATGAGAGAACAACCAGCAGTGCAGCTGTAATGAAACTCATTACTAAACAGGAGAATAAAGGTGCAATGAGGAAGGTGCAAGCATCTTCCTCCTCCTAGTTCCCCAAACCAGGAACCAGCTGTAAGCAGGCACTGAAACTGCAAAAACTTTTTAGGCAACTCAGGGATAAAATAAGGTTCATAGTTCATTTGCAAGTCATACATACATAGCAGAAGAATGAATAAATAAATAAATAAGAGTAATCGTTTTTACAAATGCTATGACCTTTCTTTGGACCCTGAATTGACATTAGTTTGTTCTTTGGATGTGACTCTCACAACAGTGACTTTAAGAAGAGCCCGGGGCAATTCCAGACCCTTCAGTTAAATCCTACTGTTCGGAGAAGTGCACAGGGGCCTTGCAAGCGCAGACAAAACTGCATTTACAGTTCTGCTCAGCCCCCTCCAGGCCTCTTTTCCTCCAATGCACACCCGGATGCCACTGCAAGCCCTGCGCCCAAGCCGGCCTTTCTGGGCACTGCACCTCAGTGCACTCCCTGCTGCTCCCTGAACAGTCCCGTGCAGGCAGCTGTGCCCAAAACCAGGCACAAACGTCTCCATTCTAGGCCAGCTATTTTCAGCATTTTTGCCAAAAGTTAGAGCAGTGCTAAAAGCTGTTAGATGTTGGAATAAGATGGGGGTCTTCTGAACGCAAATGCCAGTCTTGCGGATCTTAATGGAGAGATATTAAAAAGCTTCAGGAGAGTGCAAGAAGCAAACAGGAAGTTTTGGACCCCTCATTGTGTTTTAGGAATGGGCTTTCTGAAAAGAAATGTTATTTCCTGTCCACTCGGAGGCTACCCACATTTTAGAGTTCAGCTCTAGAGTCCCTCTCTATAAAAATGAAGTGTACAGCAAGTATTTTCGGGATGCTGACCTGATAATGAAGACATTAAGCATCTCACTTCACACACAAATTTTGATTTCAACTGACTTTTTCCAAGCCATGGCTCACAATGGGGCAARCACCAGTGCGAGCCACTTCCTTCAACACAAGAGATCACAAGACAACTGGCAACAAGATATGTCCTGACAGACTGACATTGGTGACCAGACCCCTACTCCCCACCATGAGCCCTTCACCTACTCCAGTGGCCTGAGGGTGTCCCTTAGTGTCTGCCATGCCCTGCATTCTCTTGGCGTTTTGCCCCAGGACTTTCCTTCTTTAAATGTTCTTTTGAACTGTGCTAATGAATTTATGTCTCGCTGCTTCTTATCAGTACTCGGAAATGAACTCCACTCCTCAACCTCGTGGAAGACACAGCTTCCATTTTCCTCCTTCTGCACATGCCCACGTTCCGCCAGCATTAATGGACATTACAGTCATGCGCTGAGCACATACCATTAAGACTTCCTGAATTAAATACAGCAAGACCAAATGTTCCAGCAGAGCACAGCCATATAATAAATCGGGCTTCCAGTTTTCAGTACTACTTCTTTTAATATACCCAAGCATTTTTTCTAGGGGCCTTCCAGCTCATTTTATTTTTCATATACCAGCACAGCCCCAGCCCTGCAGCGTGACCTGTGTGGGCAGACCCTGGAGAATRTGCAGAGCTCCAGGAACTACAGAAGGTCTGTGAATGTAAATCATATCACAGGATCTGGCTCTAAATACACATCTCTCTGCTTCCCAAAGCCTGTCCCCTCAGAACTGGGTCATACCTTACTCCCYAAAGGTAAATTATCACAAACTGATGATTAAAGAATCCGGCAAGGGCAAAACAATTGTACATATATTTCTTTGAATAAGTGTCCTTACATATGCTTGCATGTGACTAATTCTCAGTTTTATGAAAATTGGAATCTCTCTTTTTCATTATTTCAAGTCTTCCAATTTCAGTTTTTATCTCTTGTTTGCACTTTTGCCTCCCCCTCCCGCGAGGCAAAGGAAAATGGACAACTCCGTTTCGTTTCGCTCCTGTTTAGTCTGTTCTTGGGGAGCCCGGGCACGCAGCCCTGTGAGGAGGGATCCTGAAGGGATCTCCTCCTGCCACCAAGGCAGGAACTGCCAGGCTAGTCAAAAAAAAAAAAAAAAAAAAAAAAAGAAAATCCTCTTGAAAATGTAAATCAATAGAAACAGTTTTATTGGCTTCTGAGTTTGAAAACGTTACTTTCCAAAACCTGCATTTGACATAATCGATCTTTTTATAATTCTATATATTCTATAATTCACAAGCCATTCCAAATTACCCGAGCATGCTGCTCACTAGGATAGATACTGCAAAGCCGGGAAGTCAAGTTTAAGTAAAATCCA